ATAACATATAAAATATATAATGAAAGTTTCATCACATGGATTGTGTAATACTAGTAGATATACTCTGTGTGTGTGTGTGTGTGTGTACACATGGTAAAAGTATAATTTGATATAGTTTCTCATGCAGTTCAAGCTGTAATTTCCTATGTACCCAGGTTTGAGCTTGCATTTCTGATCTTTTAGTAGTTATTCATACCTTTTCCCTTAATGCTTACTAACATCTGAAGTTACTATTTTAGCCAAAGAATTCCTAAAGTATTCAAGTACGTTGAAATAGTTTGACTCTGATAAATCCTCCCAACCTAAGCCCTCTAATTTTTCTGTATTTTGCTTCTGAGGTTTTGAGGACTGCAGACTAACCACTATCATTTTATAAGACATTATTCGAGTCTACTTACTCATTTATTTGCTTGTCGTTGTTTCTCAGACCTTTCTTTTGGAATAATTTTTCTGTTTCTGTTATGTATTTCTGTGAGATGTTCCTTTACTGTTCGTGGGAAACCCCAGGTCTTGTTTCATTTGATATCTTTATTTCATTCTCAGTATGAAAGTCTCCAGGGTGGCACATGCCTTTAATTCCAGCACTCCAACACTAAGGAGACAGAGGCAGGCCGATCTCTGTGAGTTTAAGGCTAGCCTAGTCTATAGAATGAATTTCAGGACAGCCAAAACTACACAGAGAAACCCTGTCTCAAGAAACAAAAAAGAGAAAAAAGAAAGTCTGTTTTACCAGGCAAAATGTTCTTAGTTGGTAGTAATCTTTGTTGCCCTCTTGAGAGGACCTGCTCAGCTTCCTAATGGTTCCCACCTTTACTGTCCTCCAACAGTAGGAGGCTTGTGTCTCTCTGCCTTTATGGGTTCACTTTGTGTTTGGTGGACTCTATTTTTACTACCAATTATGCACATGAGATCATCTTTTTCTGTTTCTTGTTTGTTAATACTTTTGTGTATTTACTAGTTTTAGAAAACATCTAAGAATGGAGAGGGTTAGGCTGTCCTGGAACTTTCTCTATAGACCAGGCTGGCCTCAAACTCACAGAGATCCACCTGCCTCTGCCTCCTGAGTTCTGGGATTAAAGGTGTGCACCACCACAGCCCGGCCAACTCTCATTCATGGTGATTTGTTTCCTTGTATATCTACTTATAGATCCTCCCCCCCCCTTTTATTTGTTAATTGTTCTTGCTGCCTGGGATACCTCTTCACTGTGTAGCTCAGACTGATTTGAAACTCGTAATCCATCTTCATCAACATCCCAGATGTTGAGGTTACAGGCATGTATCACCATACCTGTTCATTCATCTTTGATTGGTTTTAATATCAGAAAATTGAAAGTGCTTTTCTCCTCAGAAGATTAGCCGTTTCATCTGCCAGGCTCTTGTGCACTATCACCAGGGAGCCCTTCTCTAGGACATCAACTTAATCTAGGAATCTCAAGTTTAACTCTTCTTACCTCACCAGTGGGCCAAGCATAGTTTTTCAACACATTTCTAATGCAAAATATGCGTGGCATTTCCTTTTCATATTTTATTAGTACTAAAGCACCCTGGACCTGTCATATTTTAAATTTTGTTTTGTTTCTGATTCCCTGGAAATTTCTCCTGGTGATAGAGACTAAATTTAGTGTGTGCAGTCAGGAGCAAGCTCTTCTGAAACAGGAAGACCTTTCAAATACCAGACTCAAGCCTCCAGTCTGGACGGTGTCAATCATGACTCACCTATAGCCATCCTGCTTTACCTCCTGCTCATGACTGACACTCCCTGTGCCAAGCTGACCAGTCGTCCCCTTGCTGCCGAATTTAATGTGTGTTTTTTCTTTTGTGATTCTTTCTTTTCTTCTTCTTTCCTGGGGATCGGACCTAGGGACTCATACATGCTAGACAAGCACCCTATCACAGAGCTACGTGTCAACCCCAATCTTTATTTTGAATTCCTTTTCATACCCGAAACCCTCTGAAGTCCTGGCTGTTCTATCACCCCGCCTCCCACCTCTTTGGTTTCTCTGAGACAGGACATCGCTATGTGCCTCAGCTGGACTTGACCTTCAGGTCCTCCTGTTTCAGCTCTCCACGCAATGGGGCTCTTGGCATGCCCCAGCATATCCGTTCCATCATTCTTGAGAGCCTCTTCTCTGACTGTGTGATGGCCTCTTCGCTTATATTTCATCCCATCTTTCTTGATATGCCCTTTAAGCCTTCTCTGTGAGATCCTTTCAACCTGACTTCACAGAATACAATCTCTCAGGCCCCAGAGGCCTATCTTGAGCTTTCCTTACTTTCTACTCCATACAATCTCCTAAAATAATGCCATCCACTTCAATGGCTCAGTATTGTGAAATCCTTATGTGTTTTGCCCTCCAAGACTTTTGTACATGCTTCTCCTTCTACTTGGAATGTGTCCTCCTGTCTCTTGTAACCTCTGATGTATGTTCCCTGAGTTCCTTATATTGTATCTATCTCTGTTATTTCTCTTTTACACTGTATTAGAATAATCTGTTCACTTACTGTCTTCCTCTGTGAGATTGTTTAGTGGATAGAAGTCATGACATAATTATACCTTTATCATGTGTCTGGGAGATGACCGTTTATTTAGTAACCAAGAGAATACTTGAGTGTATGAATGAATGAATGAATGAATGGAGTGATGGCTCTGGAATGGATGATTTGGAATTTGGAAAGAAAGTGGAAGAAGGCAAGAGAAAAGGAGATAGCTTGTACGTTTAGGTTCCTCGTTTGTTCAGTTTGCATATGTGAAGATAACGTTTTCATTTCATCAAAAGTTTATTGAGCATCCAGGGTGTGCTAGACACTCTGCCAGATGCTAGTAATACAAAGAGGAAGATCAAAACAGAGCAAAACAAAAATGAAAACAAACAAACAAAATAACTTCCTTACTTAACCCCGATTTAAGGCAAATTTGGCTTGAGTCTGGGAAGTCAGCCCTGCCGGAATACAGCACCAGGGTGTGGTATGCTCCCATCTCACCCTATCCCTTACCCCTGTATCTCGAGGCCGACCAAGGTCGTCCTTCTCCAAGTCTTACATCTCCTAACCTGCCTGTGCTACCACCTACGTGCACTATTTTATGGTGGATGGGGCAGCTGGGAAGGTTAGTGGATTGTGGGTTCTGGCTAAGCAAGGGGAGTTGCAGACAAGTCACGTGATCAGGGAGAAAGCCATCAGACTGGAAAGCTGAGGGAAGCACTGGTGGGGTGAGGGGGGGGGGGATGTAGGCAAGCTAGAAATCTTGGTGCCTGCAGGGCTGGTGTTCTGTTGTGGAGGTGATGGATATGGGGCCTTGGGAGTCGCCTGTGGGATGATGCAGAGACAGAACTGAAGTTTAGACGTTGAGGAGGGACAGGAGACACAAGGTCCCTGAGGGCATTAGGTAAGAGAGGACAGAATATCCAGGACCCTCTTGTCTTTCAGCCATTTGTGTGCTTTCTGTCTTCACACAGTGGGTTATTTCCTTTCTTCTGAAATCCCAAAGAGGCGGTGGCCCGAGAGTGTCCCAGCCCCTTAGTTCTCTGATGGTAGAGATTACAAAGCCAGCTCTGTCCACTGTGCTGGGTTCTGGGTATCTAGGAACAAGGCAGGTGGAAAACAGAAGGCTAGGGAGTATACTATGGCTGCCCCGATAGGCAGGCTGGGGAGCTGCTGCTTCTTTCTGGGTTTCTCTGCAGAACCTTATTTCCTTACAGCTCCAGGAAGCCCCTCAACCTTTCTGGGGATGATTGAAATGCTTGTTTTGTAAGAAGGCAAGGAAGAAGAGTGAATGGTCAAAATCAGGTCCTTCCCAGATGCAGCTTCTGGCTCAGTGGTGTGTGGCCGTGCAAATCTCTAGAGCCATGGTTCTCAACTCTCCGAGTGCTGTGACCCTTTAATACAGCTCCTCCTGCTGTGGTGACCCCCAACTAAACAATTACTTCATTGCTACATCATAACTATAATTTGCTACTGTTAGGAATCATAATATAAATATCTCATATGTGACCCCTGGCGGGGTTGTGACCCTCAGGTTGAGAACTACTGCTCTATAGGTACAAGTCCACCCACATTCTCATGAGCAAAGATAGGAAGAAAGATCAGTATAGCATGCTTCTGAGGAAGCCATTGGAGGCCACCAAGCACTGAAAGCCTGATATTTTGTCCCTGCCTAGTCCAGGTTCCTGGGGTTCTAGGAAGAATGCCCATAGGGTTCACCCTCGCTATCGGGAGGGATGGGGAACCAGGTGACCAGAAAGGTCCTCTAAGATTATGACTCCTTTGTGGTCAGAACAGGCCCTGTACACCCAGGAACCAGCATCAGACATCTTTAGTTAAGGACAGTTTGCGTTTGTGGATAAGTGACCTCTAATTTGGACTGGCGGGGCAGCGTGGGGGGGGGGGTGTACCACAGACGTTAGGGATCGGAGGCGTGGGGGGTTGGGAGGTGGGTGGGAAGCATAAATCCTCCCTAGGGGGCGCGTAGGATGTCTCACTGGGTAAAATTACAGATGTTAGTTACCATAAAACCCTTCCGGGGATTGGGCCGGACATTTAATAATCTATGTAGTCCTAAAAGGGCACAGTTCACACCCACTGAGAACACAGAGAACACAACCAGTAAACCCAGCACACATGCAACAGGGCTTAACACCGAGATCAGCGCTCCACCCCATTTGTGCAAGCTCACACACGTGTGCACCCTAAACGGGGATCTGGCCACGTTCTCCCATCGCACCAGGCCAGCGGCCCCGGAACTTCTATGCCTCCCCCCCCTGCTACGGATAGCAGACCGTGGGCAACCGGAATGGACTCCCAAGGCAGCTCAGGCACTGATCTCCACCTGCCCAGACTCGTCCTGCTCGCGGATTCTGTGCACGCCCGCAGTCCGGAGTGTGTGCGAGGCACTGCGCGAGCGGCCGGGCGAGCTCGGGGCCCGTGGCGGTGACGTGTGCGTCCGGCCGGTGGCGGGGGAGCGCGCTGGGGAGCGCGGGTAGCGGCGGGCTGAGCGGATGGGCAGCCCCGGACTGCGGCCCGGCACTGGTGGTGACACAGAGTAGCCAGGCGGGCCAGGCTCTGTGGTGCTCCGAGGCTCTGTAACGGGGTTCTCATCCTGCTCCGGAGAGTCCTGCAAACACAAGCGCCACAAGGGTCAGCGGTCCCGAGACAACAGAAGCGGGGCGGGGGGGGGGGTCCCTCAGAATTTTCACCCACACCTCCGACTAGGTGGCAGACACAAGTCTAGGAATACACAACATTTTGTATGGCCCAGGCACATGACAAGTACTCAGTAAATGTTAGCATGCATCAGAGCCTTGTCTCTTTATCCTCTTTCAGACCTGGTCGTGGCAAATGGGCATTGCATGTGAGCAGAGAGAACAGATGAAGGGCTCTGAAGCCCACAAGGAGGTCTTGTGACAGGAGGTAGCCAGGGTGTGGTGGAAGCTGGGGTACATCATGATATTTGGAATGCATCCAGTCAGCTTTGTATACGGACTATCGCCTATATCGCGAAAGCCGGGTCTGCCACTTGTTTAGCCCTTCATAAGTTTTCTCTCTCCTTGCCTCTTTTTTTTTTTTAATCTCTAAAGTGGAAATGACACAAAGATTTCTGCAAATACATCACATCATAGGCTCCCAAGCGTTCCATGGAGATTCCTCGACAGAGTGGCTCACCTTGTCTTTCAGGATATAGAGTGCCATCGGGTTCTTCCGCTCCTGTTCTCCACTTCGGGGCAGGGTGTCTGCTGCATAGGAAAGAACAGTGTCTGGTCCAAAGACAAATCCTATATATCACCCAGCTCCCGTATGCTTTGCTCTTCGGACTTTCTCATAACCCACTCTTCCTTTTCCCAGCAGGCCTCTCTGATCTGAGCGCTGATGGGCTGGGCCAGTGGGTGGCTGAGAACTCACCTTCTGATTTTAGGCGGTCATCGTTCTGATCCATGTATTCCAAAGAGTTTTGCTTTTCCAACTTCCTCTTCTTCCTGCAAATCAACCGACCCCCCACCAAGAACAGAGCTATTGGACATGAACAGAAAAGCTAAGGAACAGACCCTGGAAGGGATCTAATGACCACAGAAGAAGCCTTATGATGGGAAGATGGGCTGGACATGGTGGTTGTTCAGAAACGTTGGAAAGAGTCCCATCTAGGTTTGCATGCTAAGATAGTTGCTGGCATTGTGACTGTGGGAAGGCCATTTACCCAGGGTGGGTTTCAACATCTCTGTCTGTAAACTGCGGATGCTATGACTTAAAAGGTGGTACATTAACCCAGCTAGACTGTATAACTCAAAGAAAAAGCCACCATCAGCAGTGCCGGGGTGATCAGAGGTAGCTGAACACAGATGCAGTACCATATACAAAGGAAAAATACACCTGAAAAGAGGAGGAGAAAAAATTCAAAGAGATGAGACTAGAACTCGGGAGCTGGGGTGGAGGGATAGCTCAGTTGGCAGTGATTGCCTCGTAAGTGTGAGGTCCTGAGTTCAATTCCAAGAATCCACATAAAAAAAGATGGCTGTGGTAGCCCACAACTGTAGTCCCAGCACTGGGTAAAGCGGAGAGAGCCAGATCCCTGAGGCTCAGTGTCCAGCCAGCTTAATCTAATTCATATGATCCAGGCTGATGAAAGACCCTGCCTCACAATGACAACAACAAGAATCCCAAAATGGATGGCTTCTGAAGAATACGCTGGAAGTCTATCTCTGGCATCCACATACATGGGCATTTACACACACAAGCACCAACAACACATACCCATACTCACATCTATACAAGCATGTGCATGAGCACAAACACACACACACACACACACACAAACACAGAATAGAGCTTGGAAAATAGGGATGCAGCTCCATAGTAGAGTGTGCCTAGTATGTACATGGCCCCGGATTCAGTATATTGCAATCCCTCAATATTAAAGCTGGGATTTAAATAGGCTGAGGGAAGAACCAAGATGTGAAAGTTGACGTCACCTAGACTTTTTGGAGGGTTTCCAGCAGGCACAGACTGTCACCAGGGTCACAAGGAGAAAGATGCCTCCTGTAGACAAGATGATATAGAGGGAGCTTCGTCCTAAGCAAAAAGAGGCGGGGAGGTGGGGACAATGTGAGAAGGGGAGCAGGTGCGGTGAGTGGACACTAGCAATTGAGGGGGTAGACAAGGGCACCCTTAGCATGGGTAGGCAATGGCAGAGCTTCCCTGCAGCTGCCCTTCCGTTTGTGCCTGTCCTCCACAGACAGTCAGCCCATCTCTAATTGGTCTCATGCCCTCTAAACCAGTGATTCTCAACCTGTGGGCCACAACCTATTAGGGGGCAAAGGGCCCTTTCACAGGGGTCACCTAAGAGCATCGCAAAGCACGGATAATCTATATGACAATTCATAATGGTAGCAAAATTACTGTTATGAAGTAGCAACAAAAATAATTTTATGGCTGGGGTCACTACAACATGAGGAACAGTATTAAAGGTTGTTGAGAACCACTATTCTATATAGTTACTCTCTGGAATGCCTTTAGTCCCGGCGAACCCTCGTATCTTGGGCAGGCAGGGAGACTTACTATACACGGTGATCTTGACAGGCAAGCTTCGGACCTGGCTGATAGGGTTCTCCACTACACAGCTGTATAGGTCATCATCCTCCATGAGGACTCGGGTGATGGTGAGCACCTTTTGGTCAGGGGACAGGAGCATTCGGGAGTCATTGAGGAGGGGTTTGCCGTCCTTCAGCCAGGTGTAGCTAGGTTTGGTGCCATTCTCATGGGAGCAGTTGAGGGTGAAGGCCTCGCTGAGTTCCAGCACAGTGGTTGAAGCCACTAACACCTGTGGTCTTGAAATGGGCACTGAGCCCCAGAAATGGGGGATGGAAATGCCTGTGAATCATGGTCTACAACACGATCCCCCCCCCTTCTTTATTCTCCCATCTTTCAAAATACAACAGTTCAGACTGTGGGCTGAGATCCTTAGCTTAGGTTCTTTCCCATAATTTATCCGTCCAACCATCCACCACCCACCCATCCATCCACCACCCATCCATCCATCCATCCATCCATCCATCCATCCCTTCTTCATCCACTCATTCTTCATCAAGTAGCTTCTAGACTGAACAACACAGCCATGGTGAGTGTGCCCTTTCCCTTCTTCCTAAACACCATTCTAAAACCACTGAGCTTTACTTAAACGGATCGAGCCTAGAAGACACTTTAGTTGGGGGAGATCTAGGTCTAGCTCTCTAAGTTTAACGCTAGGCTCTGTCAGCCATATGAGCTTGGGCAAGTTACTCTATTAACTCGTTTTCCTTGTCTTCAAAATGGAGAGAGCAATGTTATCTAGCCCTTGATTATTGTAAATGTTAAGCAGGCTGGGCTGTGCAAATACCCTATGCTAGCTGTGCCTAGGCACCACCTTCTAATGCCCCCTTAACCTTTTGTGGGTTTTGGGGGTCTAGCCTCAGTCCCGATCTTATCCTGCCTCCTTCCCTGCAGAGTGCTTTACCATCTACTGTAAGATTGATGGTCTTCTCTCCTGTGAAGGTATCATCAGTGATGGAGATCTCCACTTCATAGGTTCCCTCATCCGCCAGCTGCAGGTCGCTGAGAAGCAAGGAGCCATTTTCAAAGAGCCGGATTCGGTCTCTATAGTCAGGCCGCAGAGTGCCGATGACCTCTGTGCCTATAGACTGCACCACGGTCACCGGCTTGTCACGCTTCAGCTGCCACTTCACCACAGGCTTGTCGCTGCTGGTGCTGCTGTACTGCACAGAAAGCAGGGCAGACTTCCCCACCGTGCCGTGGATCAGACGTACTGGGCTGGTGATGTTCACCCCCTCCAGGGGGACTGCAAACAGAGACCCATTGGGGAAGAGGGCAGTGTCAGGCCCTTAGCTTCATAGCCCAATCCACCTTCAAGCCCTCTGACCTTCCTCACACCTTTAAACCCTTAGCTTCCCCACCAGTTCTGGCTTCCACCAGCGCCATTGCCTTTCCAACAGACCTTTGCTATCTCTCCTGTGCCTTTCTTTCCTCAAAGCCGTCCCAGGTCTTCTACGGCTTAGTCTCTCTGGCATTTTCCCCATTGTCTACCTCTTGCAGAAGATTACACCTATCAAACATTCTATGTGTTCTTCTCACAGAAATATTGACTGACATCCAACGTGGCAAATCTAATAACGAATCAAGATGGCAGGAAATAGAGAAAGCACCAGAACTTAGATTCCCTGAGAAGGAGGCACGTATGCTGAGCCAATGCTCAGGAAGAAGACGCTTAGGACCTAAAAACAGCACAGATACTTCCCAGTCACACAAAGAATCCCAAGTCCTTACCTCAAGTATAACTGTATCTTACCAGGAGGGCTCAGTTTATAAAACAGTTTGGCAACTGGGGAGGAAGTTCAGGGAATTCACCTATACACCAGCCCTGTTTGTATTTTCTACAGAGGAAGAGTTTGGAACCGCAAGGCCTTGCAAGATGGGGCTCTACCACTTGCTGCCTGTGTGCGTTTGGATAAACAGTCTTTCCAAGCCCCATTCTTCTCATTTACAAAAGAAAAATATAGTGACCATAAACCAGGCAGTAGCCTGTAATTCCAGCTCTTTGGAGGTAGAGACTGGGATCAGAAGTTCAAGATCATTGTTATCATTCTTGACTACACAGTGAGTTGAAGTATGAGGCCAGCCTAGGATATCCTATCTCAACACATATATATGAGAGAGAGAGAGAGAGAGAGAGAGAGAGAGAGAGAGAGAGAGAGAGAGAGAGAGAGAGTTGGGGATATAGGGGATGTAGGGCTGTGTTTTTCTATTTCTTCTACTTGTATTTGATCGTCTGGACCAAATCAAGAGGTAAGTGAACTAAAAAGCTTGGTTATGGCAATTAAAGCAAATTTTATTTGCTGAACACATTCCATTCGTCTTAAGAGCAGGTGCTATGTTAAGTATGGGCTCCTCCTTTCTGTAAAAAGTCAAGGCAAAGCCCGCTCACCACTTTGCCACTTCTCTGGGCCTCAGCTTCTTCGTTTGTGCAGTGAAGTAGTTAGTGAGACCAGCATGATGGCTAAGCAGTTTCCAACTCTCACCTCCTATCCCTCATCAGCCTGTGCCACTCAAACCCCAGGAGATGACCCTGCAGAAAAAGCCACTGTAGGTGTGACTATCTGAATATCATTCGCTAATTGGAGGAAAGCGGTGTGCTGAGGAAGTTAGGACAGACAAAGATCTCTATTTGTGAACCTTTTCTCTCATCTTGTCCTGAGAGAGAGTCTACCTGTGTTGTCCAGGGCTACCTCTACCTCACAATCGTCTTGCCTCGACCTCCAGAGTGTTGAGGTGACAGAAGCATGCCAAAACCCCCATCTCATAACTAACTATTTTTACATTAATTTTTGAGATAGCATCTCATGTTTCCAAGGCTGGTCTCAGACTTGATCTATAGGCAAGAATGACCTTGAACGGATCTTCTTTCTGCCTCCACCTCCTGAGTCCTGAGATTGCTGACATGTGTCGCCACCTCCAGTTGTATGCCATGTTCATAATGATCCTAGGGCTTCATGTACAGTAGGCAAGAACTTCATCAGTTGAGCTACACTGCGGCCCCTCAAACGCGATTTTTAAAGATTTATTTGTATTTTATATGTATAAGTGTTTTGCCTGAATATATGTATGTGCACCACATGCCTGTCTAGTACCTAGGGAGACCAGAAGAAGGTGCCAGGTCCTTTGAAACTAGAGTTACAGATAGCGTGACCTACCATGTATGTGCTGGGGATCGAACCTGGGTCCTTTGCAAGAACAAGTGCTCTTAACTACTGAACCATCTCTCCAGCCTTAAAGATCATTTATTTTTGTTTTTTATTTATCTGTATATATGTATGTGTCTATGTGAGTGTATATTATACAGCTCTGGGTGCACATCGAGAAGACAGTGGATTCCTTGAAGTTGAAGTTATAGGCTGTTGCGAACCTTTTGGCTTGAGTTCTGGAATCTGACCTCAGGTCTTTGGGGAGACCAAGAACTGCTCTTAGCTTCTGAGCTATCTTTGTAGTGCTCCCCCCCTCTACATCATTATTTTTTGAGACAGGGTCCCATTGTGTAGTCTGGCTGGCCTAGAACTTGCTACATAGACCAGGCTGACCTTGAATTCCCAGAGACCCACCTGTCTCTGCCTCCCAAGTACTGTGACTTAGCTTTTTTTTCGTCATTCCTGACCAAATCTCAAACATTTTTTAAAACAAAAATGTTTTCATTTTTCTAAAGATTTTACATAAAAATGGAAATAAATGAAATATGGTCCCGTCTACCTTACTTGTTTCGGCAGACGAGATGATGGGGCCTGAGTCGTCCTCCCCAATAACACAAAGAGCTATTAGGCATTCCCATGGCCCTGTGTATCAGACTGAAGTCCAGCTGTTCATGTAACCTGCAAAGTTTCTTTCAACTTTCAGTTTATGTGATGGCTTAAATGGGTTTTCCTGTCTAACAACTACTAGGCCCCATCCTTGGCTAGATTTAGAAAAGCAAGCTTTCAACTTTCTCAGAGTGGTCAAAGGGGCTTTGGTATGTATGACTTGAGGTGGTTCTGGGAAAAATCACAGAGTATACTTAAAGACCTCCATGCTCAAATAGCAAGGTCACGTCTCAGGACCTGGTCTAAAACTGTAGGATTAGCACATGCCAATGACACGTGTGGAGTCACCCAGGAGGTTCACAAAGCTGAGTAAGGAAGGACCAGAGAGAGGGAGCACTGGTTAAAATTGCATAATGCTCTTGCAGAAGACCCGAGTTTAGGTCCCAGCACCCATACCAGGTGGCTCCCAACCACCTGTGACTCCAATTCCAGGGAATCTTCTGGCCTCTGTGGGCACTTAACACACACATGTGCACACACAGACACACACACACACAAATAAATAAATAAAAATAAATTTTTTTTAAAAAAAATTGAAGGACTAGAGAGATGGATTAGCAGTTAAGAGCATTGGATGCTCTTCCAGAGGCTCTGGGTTCAATTCCCACATGGCATCTTACAACTCTCTGTAACTCCAGTTCCTGGGGATCTGTCATTCTAACACAAATACACATGCAGGCAAAACATCAATCAATGTACATAAAATAAATAAATAAATAATTTAAAAAATGAAAACTTTTGAGTACCATCCCTGCTGTGGTTTGTCCCTCGAGGGTTTGTGTGTTGCCAGCCTTCCCCTCAAGGTGACGGTATTAGGAGAAACTGAAACCTTTAAGAGTACAGTGGGGTGGGGCAGTGGTGGCTTACTCCTTTAATCCAAAAGTAGGCAGAGCCTGGTCTACAGAGCAAGTTTCAGGACAGGTTACAAAGCTACAGAGAGAAACCATGTCTCAAAAATCAAAAAAACAAAACCAAAGAAAGAAAGAAGAAAGCGAGCCCAGTGGGTTAGCTCACTGTGAATACTGTCCTTGGGAAAGAACTGAGATAGTTATTGTGGGACTTTGTGCCAATTTTTCAGAGATTAAATTGTTACAAAAGAATGATCCTAAGCACCACTCGCACACGGCTTCCTGTTTTACTGTGTGATCTCTCTTCCCCCACACGTTCTGTGATGCCATCTACTGTACTATGATAGGATGTGTGAGGTCTGCTCCAGAGCTGATGTTACATGGCTTAGACTTTCTTCCTCCAAAATTACGAGCTAAGTAAACTTCCTTTCTTTATAAACTGTTCAGCCACAGATATTTCATTATAGAAATGGAAAACTGATTAACACAGATCTTGAGCATCAAACGACGCTTCTCATTTTCCTCTACCAGCGATAACCCCAGAAAGAAAGACATTATATTTATTAATTACCCTTCTCTCTTATGTAATCTCTGCTCTCTCTATCTCTCTCCGCGGATTATATTCCATCCCATTTCAAGGTTTCAGTAGTCCCCCCACTTTTTTTTTTAAAGATTTATTTATTTCTTATGTATACAGCTTTCTGCATGCCTGTATGCCAGAAGAGGGCACCAGATCTCATTATAGGTACCTAGGAGGACACCATGTGGTTGCTGGAAATTGAACACATGACTTCTGGAAGACTAGCTAGTGCTCTTAACCTCTGAGCCATCTCTCCAGCCCTTCAGTAGCCTTTTTTAAAAATTATGTTTCCCCTTATAATTCTGCTTTTTAAAAAAAATCAATTTATATTATATTGTGGATAAAAACACTGGAGACAATACAACTTTTGACCACCTCCTAATTTACCCTGGCCCAAGTGCCGGCCTTCCTTATGCCTGTGAACGTGGTTATGCCCACAAGGAGAAGGGACACATGTACACTCATTGTAAGGAGGACGGCGCCATCTTTCTTGGATGCTGATGACAAGAACATTTTTGCTGAGCATGAACAGTTGCCTAGAAACTGAAAGAATCTAAGTTTGGGTTTCATAACTTTCAGGCGACACAGAGAACTGGGACAGGAGCCAAAGCAGGACACAGAAATGAGGAAACAGCTAACACCTCAGGTCTAGAGTGGCAATAAAAGGGAGGAGGATTATTTAACCTGGAGAAGCAATTAGCTTAATCATTGTCTCTTGGGCATCTTTATGTAGAAAGTCTCTGGTCCACCACAGGCAAAAAAAAAAAAAAAAAAAAAAGGAAGGTACCATCTTTGCAAGATCTATCTAATTAAACAATGCCTTAGTGTTTATAAAGGTCAGAAGCATCTACTCAAGGAGGATTTGACACCCTGTGATACCAAGGAAAGGCAAACCTCAAGAATGTATCTGCACAGAACCATGATCCTTTTCTGGCTTCGTCCCTTAAAGGAATCGCCATGCCTTAAATTTATCTTTCAGAACCTTCAGAGGGGTGATGCTGAAGTC